AATGCTTCGGAAAATAAATGATTTTGTGTATTTAAGTCTTGTAGTCTTACTACGGAAAGATGTTCTGTAAGGTCACATCTCTATATAATAGCATATGCATTCAAAGTGTTTGATAACTAATAAATTAAGTTAACTTGCCATCTGATAACTGATAAAATAAGTTGACTTGCTGTCTTGAATGTCTTGAACATGAATTGTGAAATATCTTTTTTTCTATTGAAGATATAACATTTATGTTAACGCTTTGGAGAATTGATGATTTTGTGTATCTTTACTTTTCTCTGGAGAGACAAAGAGATGATCTGTAAGGTCACATCTCAATCTGATGAAGCATATGCATATGAAGTGTTTGATAACTGATAGAAATATCCTCACATATCGAGCATGGGTAGTTCACATGAATAATGATGAGATGTCTTCTTAAATCTTTCATATTTTCAAGGTCCCGGCCCCAGTAACCACACTCATTATATGATTCATTCTTATGTGTTGTTAATTGATCAGAAATGAACATGAGTAGTCAAATGTCTTTTAATTTTTCTGGTTATGATTATAAGCTATTGCAGATATTACTTTTTTGGGATTGCATGATTTTGTGATTTTAGTAGACTTTCTGTCTTGAATGTCTTACTACAAAGCACAGAAATGGAAAAAGAAAGAGATGTTATGTAAGATCACATCTCTATATGATTTAGCTTATGGATTTTAAATGTTTGAAAACTGATAAATACCTTGTCACATATCGAGCATGGGTAGTTTTCATGAAACATGATGAGATTTTCAAATTCTTGATTGCAGTAACCACACTCATATGATTCATGTGTTGTTAGTTGATCAGAAATGAACATGAGTAGTCGAATGTCTTTTTAATATATCTGGTTATGATTATGAGCTATTGCAGATATTACTTGTTGGGGATTGGATGATTTTGTGTATCTTTAGTTTTGTAGTCTTACTACAAAGTATGTTTTTAAAAAGATATTCTTTGGAGGAACAAAGAGATGTGCTGTAAAGTCACATCTCTCTATGCTTAAGCATATGCATATGAAGTGCATCATAACTGATAAAAAGATCCTCACATATCGAGCATGGGAGGTTGTCATGCATCATGATGAGATGTGTTCTTAAATCTTTCATATTTTCAAGTTCCCGGCCGCAGTAATCACACTCATATGATTCGTCCGCATGCGTCTCTAAATGTGTTGTTAATTCAGTAGAAGTATCAAAAGTCTCGTTGCAGTTTTTACATGTAAAGTTCATTTCATCGGGTTCTTCTTGCTGAAGTGTCTCTAAGGCTTCTTCACTTTCCAAAAGCAATTGCAACATAGCTTCATCAGCGTTTGTATAAAATTCTATTTTGGCATTTTGTCTACCTGTTAATTGTTCAATAAATTGCCTATTATTATTATATAAATTATCTAATTCTGCTTCACTTGCAATTTTATGCCACAGGGCACCATTATTTCCTCGATTCATTTCAAAAACAAGTTTGTATATTATCACTAATGAATAACTTCAGAAAATATTGACGAATAATGTAATTTTTAAAATATTTAATTATAATATATGCAAATATGAATTTATTTCTCATGCGGACTTCAAACTGTCATGATTTGCAATTTTCATGAGCTGTCATGTCAATAATGGCGGACAAAGTAAAGGTGACTCCACACCTAACGAACGTACATGGCGTTTGATATGCGCGTCGTTCGCTTTTGTTTGAAATTTTCAATCTGCGCACATTAAGGTGCGCCCACACCTAACGAACGAACACGAACAAACATGTTGAACAAGAAAATACAAAGAAGAACGAACGCGAATAATTCCAAACAAACGTCTCAAAGCTGTGAGGGCTTGGATATTTTTGTTCGAGGATGTACCGTGAAACATCAGATTTATTATTTAAAATGGCGGAAAAGAGAAAATTATTTAAAGTCATCAAATTTACAAAATTTGTCAATAACAGCAATATCTTAAGGTGCGCCACACCTAACGAACAAACACGAACAAACATGTCGAACAAAAAAAATACAAAGAAGAACAAACAAGAACACGGACGAACGCGAATAATTTCAAACAAACGTCTCAAAGCTGTGAGGGCTTGAATATTTTTGTTCGAGGATGTACCGTGAAACGTCAGATTTATTATTTAAAATGGCGGAAAAGAGCAAATTATTTAAAGTCATCGAATTTACAAAATTTGTCAATAACAGCAATATCTTATAATAAACACAATATTAACTAATTGCAGGACTGCACATTTTAACATCAAAAAATAAAAATATTTGTCTACATTCGTGGTAGCGTCCACACTGCACATACGAGTTCAAACATGAACGAACAATTCCCTTTGATGTACCGACAAGTTGCGGAACATTGCTCGCCATGTTTGTTTATGTTCGTTCGTGATCGTTGTGGCGCCATACTATGCTGTGCCGTTCGTTCTGGTACATTCAATTATGTTCGTTCGTTAGGTGTGGAGCACCTTATTCATCATGTTCGTTAGGTGTGGCGCACCTTAACAGTACTGGACAAGGGCTAGTAAACCTTTTAAATAACGGTAATGTAATAACTAGTCGTGTATGGCATCGTACCTTAAGGCAAATTGCTGGAAAATTCCCGTAGCAAAAATCATTTTTTTAAAAAATGATTAAATATGTTTTAAACTTTTTAAAAAATTTGATTTTTGAAAAATTTTAAATTTTTGACAAAAATTGACTTTTTTGAAAAAAAATGTTTTTCATTTAGTTCAAAATATTTTGCAAATTTTGAACTTTTTA